CATTGGGTTCTTGAGCGTACGTCTTGCAGGTGGTTCGCAAGGGTCATAGGGCAGATGAGGTTGATGGGCTCTGAGGCCTCCGAGCGATGACAGGGGTCGTACGGTTCGAAGAGTTCGAGAAACTCGTACGGTTGTCGGGCTCATCGGTGTCGTAAGGCTCAGGAACTCGTTGGGCTCGTGGGCCCGTAAAGCTCATGGGCCTCAGAGGGCTTTGGGGGGGAGGCGTCTCGGGGGCCTCCTTGGAGGGCGCATAGGGATCGTAGGCCTCCTAAGGCTCATAGGGCTCGAACGGCGCATAGCGCCATCTGAACCCGTCTTGCGGGGCCTTGTGGGCATTTTTGCGGCCTTCTTGGGCCGTTTCGGGGCTTCCTTGAAAGCCAGTTTGCGCCGCTTGTGTTGTGTGAGGGCGCGGGATCGCGCGCTCAGGGTCCTGGAGCGTCTGGGTGTTCTGACTTTTGCACGTGATTGCACATGTCTACCGTTCAACCTCGCGAAAGTTCATTATGTGGCCTCTCAGGCCCTTCGTGGGGATCCTTTTGGGGCTCTTTGGGGTCGTCTGGTGGCTTTCCTGGCCGTCCCGGGACCCGCTTGAACCGTCTTGGGGGATTGGGCCGTCTTGGGTTTTTTTTGAGGCCCTCTTGGCCTCCTGTGGCCTTGTCGGAGCTCTCTTTGGAGCATTTTGGGATCCTCTGGGGTCCGTCTTGGGTCGTCTTCGGGGCTTTTGGGCCGTCTTGGGGCCCTTTAGGGGAATTTTTGGGCCGTCCTGGGGCGATCAGTGGGGTCTCTCGAGCCGTCATGGACGCCGTCGGGACCCAAGAAGCGAATATGTTGAACATGTACGTTTTCCGGGTGTAGTGCGGCGATTTCTGCGTCTTGCGGGTCCCCTTGGGGGCCTCTTGAGACGTCTTTTGGGCCTCCTGGATTCTAAACGAGGTTGGGCAAAGGCGAGAGGCAGCGAGCGTTTGTCCGCGGCCGTTTGTGCTCAAGCGGCTGGCCGCCAAGATTGAATTGTGCCTCATCGCGAGGCACACTATCTGCAATTAAAACCGAAAACGTCTTCGCTTGACATGGCTCGTCGCTCCCGCGACTCTCTCCTGCTTTTGGGATTATCGTTACTACGGTAACATCCGCCGCTCTGCGGTTGATCGGGAGTTTCTGTATATATAGAAGAAGGGGCGCGCGCTTCTGGGCGAGAGGGAAACGACCGAGAGAAGAAGGGGCGGCCGCCCCACAGGACCTCTCCATGGTGCCGGAAGCCCATCAGGGCTCCCTCAGGGCCCCTCCCCCAGGGCCGGGGCTCCCTCGCCTGCCCCCTCCCCCTCCTCCTCCTCCTCCTCCTCCTCCTCCTCCTCCTCCTCCTCCTCCTCCTCCTCCTCCTCCTTCGCCCCCGTCGGCATATCCAGGCGTGTTATGCAGTCAGGTCGTCCGTCCGGAAACGGTGCCGGAGGCCGCTCTGGGCTCCTCTGGGCATCCCCCCCGGGGCCCGTTTTGTGAGGATGTCTCAGGCGAGGGCGCCGGTTTGGGATTCGTCACCGGATCCAGCGGATCCAGCGGATCCGTCCGGAAACGGTGCCGGAGGCCGCTCTGGGCTCCTCTGGGCATCCCCCCCGGGGCCCGTTTTGTGAGGATGTCTCAGGCGAGGGCGCCGGTTTGGGATTCGTCACCGGATCCAGCGGATCCAGCGGATCCGTCCGGAAACGGTGCCGGAGGCCGCTCTGGGCTCCTCTGGGCATCCCCCCCGGGGCCCGTTTTGTGAGGATGTCTCCGGCGAGGGCGCCGGTTTGGGATTCGTCACCGGATCCAGCGGATCCAGCGGATCCGGAAACGGTGCCGGATCATCCCCCCGGGGGCCCGTTTTGTGAGGATGTCTCAGGCGAGGGCGCCGGTTTGGGATTCGTCACCGGATCCAGCGGATCCAGCAGATCCGTCCGGAAACGGTGCCGGAGGCCGCTCTGGGCTCCTCTGGGCATCCCCCCCGGGGCCCGTTTTGTGAGGATGTCTCAGGCGAGGGCGCCGGTTTGGGATTCGTCACCGGATCCAGCGGATCCAGCGGATCCGTCGGAAACGGTGCCGGAGGCCGCTCTGGGCTCCTCTGGGCATCCCCCCCGGGGCCCGTTTTGTGAGGATGTCTAAGGCGAGGGCGCCGGTTTGGGGTTCGTCACCGGATCCAGCGGATCCAGCGGATCCAGCGGATCCGTCCGGAAACGGTGCCGGAGGCCGCTCTGGGCTCCTCTGGGCATCCCCCCCGGGGCCCGTTTTGTGAGGATGTTTCAGGCGAGGGCGCCGGTTTGGGATTCGTCACCGGATCCAGCGGATCCAGCGGATCCGTCCGGAAACGGTGCCGGAGGCCGCTCTGGGCTCCTATGGGCATCACCCCCGGGGCCCGTTTTGTGAGGATGTCTCAGGCGAGGGCGCCGGTTTGGGATTCGTCACCGGATCCAGCGGATCCAGCGGATCCACGGATCCAGCGGACAAACGGTTGCTGGAGGCCGCTCTGGGCTCCTATGGGCATTTCCCCCCCGCCCCCCCCCCTCCCCCCGGGGCCCCGTTTTGTGAGGCGGCAGATGTCAGGCGATGGGCGCCTAACCAGCGGCCGAACACGCCGATTCCAGCGGATCCAGCGGATCCAGCGGATCCGTCCGGAAACGGTGCCGGAGGCCGCTCTGGGCGCCTCTGGGCATCCCCCCCGGGGCCCGTTTTGTGAGGATGTCTCAGGCGAGGGCGCCGGTTTGGGATTCGTCACCGGATCCAGCGGATCCAGCGGATCCAGCGGATCCGTCCGGAAACGGTGCCGGAGGCCGCTCTGGGCTCCTCTGGGCATCCCCCCCGGGGCCCGTTTTGTGAGGATGTCTCAGTCGAGGGCGCCGGTTTGGGATTCGTCACCGGATCCAGCGGATCCAGCGGATCCAGCGGATCCAGCGGATCCGTCCGGAAACGGTGCCGGAGGCCGCTTTGGGCTCCTCTGGGCATCCCCCCCGGGGCCCGTTTTGCGAGGATGTCTCAGGCGAGGGCGCCGGTTTGGGATTCGTCACCGGATCCAGCGGATCCAGCGGATCCGTCCGGAAACGGTGCCGGAGGCCGCTCTGGGCTCCTCTGGGCATCCCCCCCGGGGCCCGTTTTGTGAGGATGTCTCAGGCGAGGGCGACGGTTTGGGATTCGTCACCGGATCCAGCGGATCCAGCGGATCCGTCCGGAAAAAATCGGCCACGGAGGCCGCTCTGGGCTCCTCTGGGCATCCCACCCGGGGCCCGTTTTGTGAGGATGTCTCAGGCGAGGGCGCCGGTTTGGGATTCGTCACCGGATCCAGCGGATCCAGCGGATCCGTCCGGAAACGGTGCCGGAGGCCGCTCTGGGCTCCTCTGGGCATCCCCCCCGGGGCCCGTTTTGTGAGGATGTCTCAGGCGAGGGCGCCGGTTTGGGATTCGTCACCGGATCCAGCGGATCCAGCGGATCCAGCGGATCCGTCCGGAAACGGTGCCGGAGGCCGCTCTGGGCTCCTCTGGGCATCCCCCCCGGGGCCCGTTTTGTGAGGATGTCTCAGGCGAGGGCGCCGGTTGGGGATTCGTCACCGGATCCAGCGGATCCAGCGGATCCAGCGGATCCGTCCGGAAACGGTGCCGGAGGCCGCTCTGGGCTCCTCTGGGCATCCCCCCCGGGGCCCGTTTTGTGAGGATGTCTCAGGCGAGGGCGCCGGTTTGGGATTCGTCACCGGATCCAGCGGATCCAGCGGATCCAGCGGATCCGTCCGGAAACGGTGCCGGAGGCCGCTCTGGGCTCCTCTGGGCATCCCCCCCGGGGCCCGTTTTGTGAGGATGTCTCAGGCGAGGGCGCCGGTTTGGGATTCGTCACCGGATCCAGCGGATCCAGCGGATCCAGCGGATCCGTCCGGAAACGGTGCCGGAGGCCGCTCTGGGCTCCTCTGGGCATCCCCCCCGGGGCCCGTTTTGTGAGGATGTCTCAGGCGAGGGCGCCGGTTTGGGATTCGTCACCGGATCCAGCGGATCCAGCGGATCCGTCCGGAAACGGTGCCGGAGGCCGCTCTGGGCTCGTGCTCTACGCGCCGGGGGTGAGGATGACGTGAGTTCCACAGAAACTCCCTCAAATAACAGAGTTGGATATGGGCTTCGCCGTAGGCGAAGCATCTGGTTGGGCCTCCCGACCAGCTTCAAACTCCTGGGCCGTCTTGAAGCCACCGTAGGCTTTTTTGAGCGCTCATGGGGCGCTTTGGAGCGGCCTTGGGCCGTTAAGGGGTTCCGCGGGACTGTCCATGAAGCGGTCCTGGGCCCGCCCTGGCGGCGTAGGATGGCCCGGAGGGCTCCCGAAACTGAATGTTTAAATTTCACGTATACGCCTGTGTATAGATACTGGTATATGTGCACGCAGTTTTGTATTCACACACATTTCCCTCCCCCCCCCTCCCTCTATCTCTGTAGATATATGGATATACAATGCACATGTGCTCGCCCCTTTGCGCGGAGCTGGTCGGGGGCTGGGGGCGATCTGTCCAGTGGTTCCGTCGGATGGTAGAGGGCGCCAAGGGTTTTGCGCCGTCACGCAGCGTCGCCCGATAGCGGCACACTTGCGCTGATAGGCAAACGGTGATCAACGCGATGTGCTAGGAGACTTATTTGCTTATGCGATGTGGCGCTCCTGGTGGATGCTCTGGCACGTCGCTTGGGAGCTTCTCGTCTGGGTCTTTCTTTGCTTTCTGTTTGCTCCCTCGTGCCCCTGCCGTAGGCCACATCTGTGTGTTTTTACAGGCCGTTTCGCATCTCGGCGGCGAGCCCAGGATGTTGAGGGGGTGGGCCTTCTCGGAAGGCTCGGAAGGCCGCGGGCCTTCCGAGAAGCTGTCCAAGCCTTCCCCGAAGACATAAAGACATAGAACCACTATCAGAAGGCCCGAGGGTTTCTGAGAAGCCCCGCCGCCTTCTGAGAAGTCTCAGCTCGCCCCCCCTCGGCACCATTTCCGAACGTTCAAGCCCCCCCCCCCCGCGGAGAAGGCGAAGTCGGGCGCCCAGGAGCACCAGAAACTGCACGCGATCGAGAGCTTGGTGTGCGGGGGCGCCGCCGGGGCAGCGGCGAAGACCGTGATCGCGCCAGGGGACAGGCTGCTCCCGCCGCCACCGCTCCTGCTGCTGCCGCCCCTCGTCCTCCCTCCTGCTGCTCCTGCCGTGGCTGCTCCTGCTTGCGGCCTGGGGCTCGCGCTCGCACTGGCGGCGCGCCTTCTTCACGGCATCGTCCAGGCGGGCGTTGGCACGCACAGGAGGCAAAAGGCGCCGACGTGGCGTGCGTGTCGGGTTCGGGTGTGCATCGCTCTGCGGGTGGGGGGGCCGTGGCGTCCGCTTTGATACACCGCCCGCGGGTGGTCGTGGACGGGTCAGCCGCACGCCTCTTCGACCGCCTGTGGCCCCCCGTCCGCGCGCATGGTTGAACGCGAGCCGGCCCGTGCCTGGCGCGGGCGCGCAGCGGCGGCCTCTGTCTGTCTCTGCGGGGGAGCAGGGTCTGCAGATCAGGAACGAGTGGTGGAAGGGGGGGGGGAAGGAGGAGGAGGAGAGGAGGAGGAGGAGGAGGAGGAGGAGGAGGAGGAGGAGGAGGAGAGAGAGAGGAGGAGGAGGGGAGGAGGAGGAGGAGGGAGGAGGGAGGAGAGGAGGAGGAGGAGGAGGAGGAGGAGGAGGAAGGAGGAGGAGGAGGAGGAGGAGGAGGAGGGAGGAGGAGGAGGAGGAGGAGGAGGAGGAGGAGGAGGAGGAGGAGGAGGAGGAGGAGGAGGAGGAGGGGGAGGAGGAGGGGAGGAGGAGGAGGAGAGGAGGAGGAGGAGGAGGAGGAGGAGGAGGAGGAGGAGGAGGAGGAGGAGGAGAGAGGAGGAGGGAGGAGGAGGAAGGAGGGAGGACGAGGAGAGGAGGAGGAGGAGGAGGAGGAGGAGGAGGAGGAGGAGGAGGAGGAGGAGGTGGAGGGCGTGACTTGCTCCTTGTCTGTGGCCGCCCGGCGGCGGTGCGCACTTCTGCGGGCCCCGCGTGCGGCTGCTCCCCGCCCCTGCGTTTCCCGCCTCCCTGCTCGTGCCGCGGCTGCCTCCGCTCCTTTCCCGCTTCCCGCTGCCGGTGTCCCGCCGGCGCGCGCTCCTCGCCCCGCGCCTCGCCGCGCCGCCGCGCGCAGGGCAGGAAGGGCGCACTCAGTGAGGGGGCCAACGGTGACGACGACGACGACGACGATGACGATGGTGATGATGATGATGATGATGATGATGATGATGATGATGATGATGATGATGATGATGATGATGATGATGATGATGATGCTGCTAATGATGATGATGCTGATGATGATGCTGATGATGATGATGCTGATGATGATGCTGCTAATGATGATGCTGATGATGATGCTGATGATGATGCTGATGATGAGATGATGCTGATGATAATGACGATGATGATGATGAGGATGATGACGATGACGATGATGAATGATGATGATGATGATGATGATGATGATGATGAGATGGTGGTGGTGGTGATGATGATGATGATGATGCTGCTGATGCTGATGCTGCTGATGCTGATTGATGATGATGATGATGATGATGATGGATGATGATGATGATGATGATGATGATGATGATGATGATGATGATGATGATGATGATGATGATGATGATGATGATGCTGATGATGATGATGATGATGATGATGATGATGATGATGATGATGATGATGATGATGATGATGATGATGATGATGATGATGACGGGAGGGGGCCAGCGGGGTCTTTCGTAGGCAGGTCTGCTGGGTGCTCAGTTCGCGGCCGCTCCAGTACGGACTGCCTCTTCACGGCCCCCGCCATATAGTTATGGTGCGCGTGCCCTCCTCTTCCCCCTGAACAGGAGGGAGGAGGGGCAACGTCAAAGGGAATGAGCTCAGGGAGGGGGCCCCAACTGCCCATTCATCGCCGATAGGGGCCCTTCCCTAGGCTTACCCCTAGGCCCTTCCCCTAGGCCCTTCCGGTATGCCTACCCCTAGGCCTACCCCTAGGCCCTTCCCCTGGGCCCACCCTAGGCCTCCCCTAGGCCCTTCCCCTGGGCCTACCCTAGGCCTACCCCTATAGGCCCTTCCCCTGGGCCTTCCCTATAGGCCTACCCCTAGGCCCTTCCCCTAGGCCTTCCCTAGGCCTACCCCTATGCCCTTCCCCTAGGCCTACCCTAGGCCCTTCCCCTCGGCCTATCCCAGGCTTACCCTAGGCCGACCCGTTCGGGTTCATGCGTGCTGGCTCGTGTATGCCCCACACTTTAATGTCCCGGCCGCTCAGCAGCGTGCGGATTCGCAGTCGGTGGCTTATCGCCAGTCTATCGGCGACGTACCGCCGATTCCAGGTCGATGCTTCGCCCACCCTGACCAAGTTCCCTCCCTCTCGCTGTCACTCATGAGCAGGAGGGGGAGGGGGGCGGTGTGGACCAGCCACTCTGTGTTCGGATTACGCCGTACATGCTACCTTTGAACTGTCTCTCTCCACGCTCCAACCTGCTGCGCGCTCTGCTCTGTGCCCTTGCGGGCTGATGTTCTTGCGCGTTCTCTCGCGGCTGGCCTTCCTTTTCCCGACCGTAGCGTGCAGCTGCAGGTCACGCCATTTGTCCATAGTCGTTTTTTGTTTCCCTCTGTCTGAACGCACCCGTTGTTCGATCCACGTCTGGGCAGCGTAAGACTGTGGACTAGCGCAAAGCCAGCCCACGCCCACGATGTCGCAACGTGCCTTCCCGTCCCAAGTGCAGCCGCGACGCCGAAACAAGGACCACTCTGGGCTCAGGAGGGGCTCGGGTTTTCGGGCCGTTCCTCAGATCATCCAAACTGGTGCGAGAGAGGATCGAAGCTCGTTTTCTGGTCTCGGAGCTTGCTCAGCTTGAAGCTCGAGCCTGACCGGCTGCGAGAGTCATATAGATCGCCCGGGCAAGGCCTAGGGTAGGCCTAGGGGTAGACCCTAGGGTAGGCTTAGGGCCCACTCTAGGCCTACGCCGGGGCCTATTCCTAGGGCTACTCTATGCGTTGCCCCCGGGCTAGCTCTAGCGCTGCCCTAGGCCTTGCCTTTAGCCCGAGGGCTACCCTTGGGCCTGACCGTAGCCCGACCCTGGTTCCTTCCCCTTCGCCTAGGCCTTGCCTATGCCCGACCCCACTCTCCGACCCGACCCGCTCTTCAGTGTTCTTCCAATCCGGCGTCGCCGACCTCCGTCTACCGATCCGATTCCGCTGGACAAAGAAAGGAAGGAGGAGAGAGGTAGGAAGGAGGGAGGGAGGACAGGAGGGAAGAGGGGATGGGGGGGGCGCGGGGACGAGAGCGGGGATGTGGGGGTTTACAGAGGGGGGGTCTAGAGAGGAGGGGTCTAGAGAGGAGGGGTCTCAAGCTAGGTGCGCAAGCGCCTGATCTGACGTCCTACTCCTCCCTCCCATCCCGAACCATGGCGTAGATCTCCTCTCTATTCGCGCTGTCGGATGTCGTAACATGGCGTAGCATTACATGTCATAGCATGGCGTTGAAGATCAACGCGTAGCATGACCGTGGCACTGCGTAGGGAAGCACTGCATATTGCATTGCAGCTGAAGGCATGGCATCGCACAGCGGCACACACCATAGCATTGCATTACATGCCATTGCATGGCACTGGAGATGAGGCCAGCGCTGCAGCAGGAGCAGGATTCTTAACGAGCAGAAGAGCGGACATGAGGCCAGCGCTGTAGAAGGAGCACGATTCGGAACGAGCGGAAGCGCGGAAAGGAGGCCAGCGCTGCAGCGGGAGCACGGTTCGGAACCAGCGGAAGCCCGAACATGAGGCCTGCGCTGTAGCGGGAACAACATTTTGAAGGACGGGAAAGGAACGGATGTGTGAACACATATATTAAAAAGGGGAACCACTTCGCCAGAATCTTGTGTGTAAAAAACAAGACGCGGAGGGGGGCTTGACATCTTCCAGACAGAGTTAGGGGAGAGAGGAGAGTAGCATTCATATGGTGTAATTGTAGAGAGGGGGGGTCTAGAGAGAGGAGGTCTAGAGAGTGGGGGTCTAGAGAGGAGGGCTCCAGAGAGGGGGGTGTCTACAGAGGGGGGGTCTAGAGAGAGGTAGTCCAGAGGGGGGGGGTCTACAGAGGGGGGATCTAGAGAGGGGGGGTCTACAGAGGGGGGGTCTAGAGAGGGGGGGTCTCAAGCTAGGTGCGCTAGCGCCTGATCCGACGTCCTACCCCTCCCTCCCATCCCTTACCATGGCGTAGATATCCTCTCTATTCGCACAGTCGGAGTTCGACCAGGGCAATGATCTCAAGAGGGCACGCGATGGATGGGAAAGCATGGCGCAGAAGAGCACGGCAGAGCATAGCATGTCGTAGCGTGGCGTGGCATTGCGTAGTGAAACATCGCATCGCCAAGCGTAGCAACGCACAGCATGGCATCGCACAGCAGTGCACAGCACAGCATCGCAATGCATGCCGCGGCATGGCACCAGATGACTTGGAGGGTAAGTGGCCCGTCTACGAGAGGACAGAGCCTGTCCGGAATGCTGGCTCCGTGCTCTCCGCACCCGTGCCTGCCCGATGTGGGCGCTTTCGATGCCAAGTGCCGCCCGGAGGCGCGGGAACGCGGGCCGGCGCTGCAGCGGGAGCACCGTTTGGAGTGACCGACGCGCGGAAAGAAGGGCGGCGCCGCAGCGGGAGCACCAATTCGGGAGAACCCGAAAGGACCGGATGGGAAAAACACACATGGGGAACAATCCCACACGATGGAGTCCTGTGTGTAGAAGGCGATACGCCGAGAGGACGAGACACTCTCCGGACAGAGCCAGGGGAGAGAGAAAAGAGTAGCATGAGAGAGGAGAGTCGTATCCATATTGTGCAATTGTAGTGAGGGGGGGGTCTAGAGAGGGGGGGCCTGGAGAGGGGGCGGTCTAGAGATGGGGGGTCTAGATTGGGGGCTTAGTGGGGGTCTAGAGGGGGGTTTTACAGAGGGGGGGTCTAGAGAGCGGGGGTCTAGAGAGGGGGGGTCTAGAGAGGGGGGGGTAGAGAGGTGGGATCTAGAGATAGGGGGTCTAGAGAGGGGGGGTCTAGAGAGGGGGGGTCTACAGAGGGAGGGGTCTAGAAGGGGGTGGGTCTACAGAGGGGGGGGTCTACAAAGGGGGTGGTTAGAGAGTGGGCCTTTAGAGACAGGAGGCCCAGAGGGGGGGTGTCTACAGACAGGGGGGGGGGCTACAGCCGGGCTGTTTAGAGAGGGGGGGTATACAGAGGGGGGCTTTAAAGAGGGGGGGTGTAGGGAGGGGGGGTCTAGAGAGATGGGCTCAGAGAGGGAAGATCTAGTGAGAGGGGTCTAGAGAGGGGGGGCTTACAGAGGGGGGGGGTCTAGAGAGGGGGTCTCGAAGAGAGAGGGGGCCCACAGAGGGGGGGATGCAGAGAGGGGGGGTCGTTGCCTAGGCCCAGCAGGGGCTTCAGGAGCCCCGGAAAGCACAGGGGACCGTCTGCAAGGGCGCTCAGGGGGCCCCCGGGGCCAAGGATCCGGAGAGGTCTCGTTTAAGGGGGGGTCGCAGGGTGACAGATTTTAGAGATTTAGAAAAGGGATTAGAGAGAGAGAGAGAGAGAGAGATAGAGAGAGAGAGAGAGAGAGAGAGAGAGAAAGAGAGAGAGAGAGAGGAAGAGAGAGAGAGAGAGAGAGAAATCTATCTATATATATATAAGAGAGAGAGAGAGAGAGAGAGAGAGAGAGAGAGAGAGAGAAAGAGAGAGAGAGAGAGAGAGAGCGCGCGAGGGCAAGAGAGAACAAAGGAGGGAGAGGGAGAGGGGGTGACGGAAGGAGCAGGAGGAGGAGAAGGACGAGGAGGAGGATGCAGAGGAGGAGAAGGTGGAGGAGGAGGAGGAGAAGGAGGAGGAGCCAGAAGGAGCGGGAGAGGAGGAGGAGGACGAGGAGGAGGACGAGGAGGAGGAAGAGCAGGAGCAGGAGGAGGAGGAGGAGGAGGAGGAGGAGGAGGAGGAAGACCAGGAGGAGGAGGCGGAGGCGGAGGCGGAGGCGGAGGCGGAGGAGGAGGAGGAGGAGGAGGAGGAGGAGGAGGAAGAGCAGGAGGAGTATGAGGCACAGGTTGGGCCCTCGGGTAGGCCCTACCCCCTACCCTAGGCCCTTGGGTAGGGCCTACCCTTGTCCTTCCCTGGGCCCTTGGGTAGGGCCTACCCAAGGCTACCCTGGGCCCTGGGGTAGGGCCTACCCTGGGCTACCCGAGGCCCTTGGGTAGTGCCTACGGTCGCCTTCCGCCCGGGCGATCTGCATCGCGAAAGTCTGCAGCCACAGCAGACCGCCACCTGACCCATCCACTGCTCCATTCGTTCTGGAGCAGAGCCGAACCGTGCCGCACCAGCGGCTCGGGGGCCTGTGCGTGGCCGAGGCTCGCAGCGACCAGGCAGTCCCGTCGTTCCCCTTGCGGCGCTCCACGCGGTAGCACGATGGCTGTGCCCCCGTTTGTCGGGACAGTGCTTCCCCCACGGCGGACGCTCGCGAGGTGGCGGCCTCTCGGGCCTGCATGGTGGGAGCCCCTGTGAGTCTTGACGTCGGCATCCGCGGTGTCGGCAATGTCCGCCCGCGCGCGTTTGCAGCGCACGGCGGCCTTTCTGGACGCCCGAAATGGGTACGGAAAGAATGGGTACAATGCCCAACAGCAGTTCCTGTTCAGTTTGAACAGGACTCGCTGTCCACGCCGCCGCGGCCTGTGTCCATTCGAGACAGAAGGCCGCCTGCCCAACAGCGGCCGCTGTTGGTTTGGGACAACATTTGTTGTTGGGCATTGTACCCATTCTTTCCGTGCCCATTTCGGGCGTCCGACGCGAGGGCGCGTTTTTTTCGAAACGGGGCCGCCCTCCCTCCGCGCAGGAGTTTGAGATCTGAAGCCTCGCGACTTGCAGCAGCGGGGTGCGAGTAGGAAGTCCTGGGGCGAGGGCTCGGTCCTGATAAACAGGTCTCCTCGACCCCTGAAGCTGCTCGCCATGCCGAGCTGGATTATCATTGCATGCAAGAGGCCTCGCACGGGAACTGTGCTTTGAAATGGGGCTGCTGCCCATCTGTGCAGATATGGGACACGCCAAACTTTCTGATATCGTTTTCTGCTTGATCGATCGCCACGTATCGAGCATGTACCAGCCTCCACCCGTGTACTGTTGGTAATGTCAATCCTGATGGGCATCAACTGTAAACCAGAGCTAGGTGATGTGCGAGCAAAGACGCGGATCGTTCTCCACCCGTGTAGTCGTTGGGACCTTTGCGTGGACTGTGCTACGGCGATAACCGTATTTGGGGTATTTGCCGCCGTGAGCCTTTCAAGGCAAGTATACGCGGCGTTGAGGCAAACGCTTTATTTTGGCCAAGGACCGCCCTCCATCTGTGATGTGGTCGTTTCCCCTCGGTCCTCCTTCGATGCTGGGTCCTCGTGGTCGTGGTGAAGCCGCAGCGCTGCGTTCCCTTTTCTCCTCCCGCCCCCACCTCTCCCTCCTCCTGTTCTTGCCATCGCCCATTTCGGCACACCCTCTTGTAGGGCGCTCCGCGTGCATTACCACCACCAAATTCGGCAAGCCCCTCACGCGGATCGTGCCTCCACAGGGAGATCCGCCTACGCCGATTTTGGCACACACCTCACGCGGGTCGTGCTTCATGGGGAGTTCCGCTTGCGGCCCCCATGGTTGAGTTTGCATGGTCTTTTTATGCTTGCTATGATCCCTATCATATTGTTATTAGTGTTCTTAGTATCCAGTTTCAGGTGCGTATTATCTTAATCATGTTTTTTTTCTCTTCTTCTTATCCTCCTCCTTCTCCTCCTCCTGCCCGCCCCCGAGCCGTTCCTTTCCCTCTCCCGCCCCTTCCCTTTCCCTCGCTGTCCTCCCTTCCTCTCCCCCTCAGCCCCCTCGACCCCCTCAGCCCCCTCAGAGGGCTTGTGTGACATAGTAGTGTAATCAATTCATCACACACGGTCTGAGGCTACGGCCTCTTGCGCCTTGCCCAAAGGGCACGGGCACCCCCGGTGCCCGGATCCGGCGCCTCCGCTCCGCTCCGCTCAGCCCCCTCGACCCCCCGAATCTCCCCCCCCCCCCAGGCTAAAAATCCTCTTCCAGACGGACCCCACCCGCAAGTACACCATGCGGAACGTCCTGAGCCTGGGCCGCAGCATCGTCGCCGAGCAGGGCGTGCGCGGCCTATGGCGCGGGCACGGGGCGACGCTGCTGCGGGTGGTCCCCTACTCGGCGACGTCGTTCGCGACGTTCGAGCCGTACAAGGCTACGGGGCGTGAAAACGACCACAGCCACTGCTTTTCTTTTGTTGCCGCCTTCCAGCCAGCAGAAACAAGGCAGTGGTTGTGATCATTGTCGTCGAGCTTGGCACCAGGGAAATGACCACAACCACTGCTTCTTTTTCGGCCGGCTGGAAGGCGGCGCAAACAAGAGGCAGTGGCTGTGGTCAATTTCCCGTCCCGCAAAGGCGTGGCTGAGGCGGTCGACGCCCTCCAGCAGCGACGTGACCGTGCGGTTCCTCGCGGGCGCGATGGCGGGCACGACGGCCACCACGCTGACGTACCCCCTGGACATGTTCCGCGCGCGCATGGCGGCCCGCATGGGCCCCCAGGCCCAGTACGACGGCTACTGGAGGGCGGCGCAGGCCGTGGCTGGAAGACGCACTCTCATGGTCTTGTTTTCCGCCACCACCACCATCAGTTGGAGGAAGGAAGGAGGTGGAGGATGAGGAGGAGGAGGATGAAGATGAAGATGAAGATGAAGATGAAGATGAAGATGATGATGATGATGATGATGATGATGATGATGATGATGATGATGATGATGATGATGATGATGATGATGATGATGATGATGATGATGATGATGATGATGATGATGATGATGATGATGATGATGATGATGATGATGATGATGCTGCTGAATGATGATGCGATGATGTGATGCTGATGATGATGATGATGATGATGATGAGGATGACGATGATAATAATGATGCTGATGACGATGATGATGATGCTGTTGCTGATGATGATGATGATGATGATGATGATGATGGTGATGGTGAGGGTGATGGTGATGATGATGAATGATGATGATGATGATGATGATGATGATGGTGAATGATGCTGATGATGATGATGACGATGAGGAGGAGGAGGAGGAAGGAGGAGGCGGAGGGAGGAGATGCTGATAGATGACTGCTGATGCTGATGATGATGATGATGGATGAGGATGATGATGATGATGTGATGATATGATGACGATGATGATGATGATGATGATGATGATGATGGATGTGATGATGAATGATGAGGGTGATGAGGAGGAGGAGGAGAGGAGGAGGAGGAGGAGGAGGAGGAGGAGGAGAAGGAGGAGGACCCCCTCCCCCTCCTACTAATGGTGGTAGTGGTGGTGGTGGTGGAAAACAAGCCCACCACCGTGGAGGCCCCGCGCGGAGCGCATCCATGCGACCGCTTGTCCACGGGATCGCCAGGCCGCGAGGGCGTGGATCTGGATCCGTTGGCCGCTCGTGAGCAGGCCGTGGTGCGGGCGCACGGCGCCTCGGCGCTGTACAGCGGGCTGAGGCCCACGCTGCTGGGCATCGTGCCCTACTCCGGCCTCTCCTACTGCATCTTCGAGACGCTCAAGGCCCGGCTCGGCCAGCGGCGGCCCGGCGGCGGCCTGCACGTGGCTGAGCGCATGGGCGCCGGGGCCCTGGCCGGGCTGCTCGCGCAGAGCGCGACCTACCCGCTCGACATCGTCCGGAGGCGCATGCAGGTGGCCCCAAGGAGGGAGGCGCACCGGCTGCGCGGATATTTATCGCATCGGCACTGGGCGCCACCCCCTCGCGCGCCCCGCGCGCCAGGGGGCGGCTCCGGAGGGCGCCGCCAGGGGGGGCCCCGGCGCGGACGCGAGTTTTTTTTTTGTTTTTTTTTTTTGTTTTTTTTTTTCCGGCGCTTCCGTAATCAGTTCGGTGATGTTTCTGCTTCGCCGGCAATTCCAGTGGTGCCACAAAACGCGAGAGACCGCGCGGAGCTCCGAAAGCCCGTGTTTGTGCCGCGCTTCCGCGCTCGAGCAGCCGCCTCGCGCGCGCACGCGCGGCCGAGGCGCTCTGCTCGGCGAGGCGGCCCCGGGAGGCCACCCCGGGGAGGCCCCTCGCTCTGCGCCCCTCCGGAGCCTCCCCGGGGGGGGGGGGCCTTCGTCGCCACGGCAGCATGCGTCTCGGAGTCCTCGCCGGAGCGCGCCCCTGGGAGAGGTCTGCGGAGTGCTGTCGTGTTTGTTTGTTTGTTTGTTTGTTTGTTTGTTTGTTTGTTTGTTTTGTTTTGTTTGTTTGTTTGTTTGTTTGTTTGTTACCTAACAGCGAAGACTGATAGGTTTCTGATGGGGTCAAAAGAGAGCATCTGATGACTCCCCAGGGGGTCTGGGCGGTAGCCGGACAGGCGAGGGCCGGGCTCGTTTTAAGCAAACGGTCACACATTTCGTGCTCTTCGACCTCCCAGAACTCCATTCCCGGGCCACATTTTTGAATGCCCGGAGCCAACTGTAGGCCACTTCGTGTTCTTCGACTTCCCAGAATTCCATTCCCGGGCCGCATTTTGGATGCCCGGAGCCAACTGTAGGCCACTTCGTGCTCTTCGACTTCCCAGAACTCTATTCCAGGGCCACATTTTGGATACCCGTAGCCAACTGTAGGCCATTTCGTGCTCTTGGACTTCCCAGAACACCATTCCCGGGACACATTTTGAATGCCCGGGGCCAACTGTAAGCCACTTCGTGCTCTTCCATTTCCCAGAACTCCACTCCCGGGCCACATTTTGAATGCCCGGAGCCAACTGTACGCCACTTCGTGCTCTTCCACTTCCTAGACTTCCAAGACTCATCATCTTCATCATCATCATCGTTCCCGTAGCCTTCTTGGCTACAGCCCTGCTTTCGAAGATTTCCTTTCAAAGGAACTGCGCAGCGCCTACTGCACACCTTAATGCCAGGACATGCTGATAGTTCTCGGTCTGGCGGCGGTGCTCCTGACCCTGCTGCATTGAACAGCGGTGCTCCTCAGCCTGCGGCAGGGAACAGCGCTGCTCCTCAGCGTGCTGCATTGAGCGGTCCTCTGCAAACGCTCGTCGAGCACGTGAAGCAGTTCGGCCGGATACCGAAGCGAAATAAAGGAACGTCCGAACAAGAACGGGCCGAAAACAAGTTGGCCAAACGTTTCTCGGACCATCGCGACCGCACCCCCAAAGACATTTTGCATGAACTGCGGGCCCTGGGCTGCGGCTGATCAGCAGTGACGGGAGCTCAGGGAAGCAGAAGTGATCTCTGGCAAACAAAATGTGGTGCTTCTCAGCCTGCATTCATGTGACACGCAATGCCGTGGCCTGCACTCGCGTAGTGCTTCTCAGCCTGCACTCGCGCGGTGCTTCTCAGCCTGCGCCTCCTCGGTACTTGCCAGCCGCCGGATTGGCGCGATTTCCTGCAATACAAGCGGGAGAGGTGAAGTATCCGAGCCCGCGTGTCCACGGTGCTTCTCGGCGTGCGTACTTGTAATCCTAGTTCCAGCAGTAGTAGGACTGCGCGGCCGCGGTGCTTCTCAGCCTCCGAGTTTCTGCGGTGCTTCTCAGCCTGCAAGTTTTGCCGACTGTCCGCTTCACACGCCGCTCCTCAGTGCGCTCCTCTTCCGTTTGCGAGATGTCTTCCAAGATTTGGTTGGAGGCCGAGAAAGACGGACAGAACAAATCCAAGTAGCGCGGTCATCATCCCATCCTCCTCCTCAATCATCACATCATCATCATCATCAATGGCTTCGCCGAGCACCCCGGTGGAGACTCAGGTCTTACGGGTCCGTGCTACTACTACTACTACTACTACTACTACTACTACTACTACTACTACTACTACTACTACTACTACTACTACTACTACTACTACTACTACTACCAGTACTACTACTACTACTACTACTACTACTACTACTACTACTACTACTACTACTACTACTACTACTACTACTAGTACTACTACTACGACTACTACTGCTACTACTACTACTACTACTATTACTACTACTACTACTACTACTACTACTACTACTACTACTACTACTACTACGACATCACACTAAATCCGTTCATGGGAGTGCCTGTTTTGGAGTTACATTCATTGATGCAAGTGTGTCGTTTGAGGCTCAACCCGTTGATAGCAGTGTCTCGTTCGGAATCACATCCGTTGATAGCAGTGTTTTGTTTAGACCTCGATGAATTTATAGAAAGATCTCATTTGGAGATAGCGTTATCGAAAACAGTGTTTCTACTGCTACTACCACTGCTCCCATCACTCCTACTTGTTCATTCCACACAGTACAACTACTACTTCACTGTTACAACTACTACCATCACTACTACTTCTACTGCTACTACTACTACTGTTACTATTACTGCTGCTGCTGTTGTTGCTGCTAGTGTAACTATTGCTATTGCAACTATTGGCAGTGCCACTGCGACTGCCGCTGATGTTGCCACTGCGGCTGCCACTTCGAATCCGAATGCGACTGCGAGAGCACCAGGATTCTACAACAGCACTCTTACATGAATACCACAGGCAATGTTTCCAGCCATGCTTCTACACATCGCTATTCGGTTGCTTTGCCGGGATAGTTTGTTTGTTTGTTTGTGTGTTTGTTTGTGTGTGTTTGTGTGTGTGTGTGTGTGTCTTTGCTCTCCTCCCGAGGTGGACCCGGAGACGTACCGGAGCGAGGTGCAGACGGCCATGAGCATCTGGCGGGCGGAGGGGGCGCGGGGCTTCTTCAAGGGCGTCTCCATGAACTGGCTGAAGGCCCACCGCCGGCACACGTCCACAGCCACCGCCTCGGAGCCGTGCCCTGGGATCTCGAGGAGTGGTGGATGTGGATGGCTGCCCGCCCGCTCGGGAGGGCAGATGTCCAGGTCCAGCGCTCCGCGAGCCCCGACGACCCGCCCCCGCGGCAGTGGATCTGCACATCTGCTGGCGGTGCCGCAGGGCCCCGTCGCCATGTCCATCAGCTACTTCGCCAACGACCTGCTTCGGGAGCACGTGGCGCGGCACGGCCGGAGGTGACCCAGCGAGAGCTCGTTTTTTTGAGCGGCCAGCAGGTGGCCTGCAGTTGTGTGTTCGCTCGTTCTCTTCCCCTCCTTTTCTGTCCCCATCCCCCTCCTCCCCTCGCTCCTTCCTCCCCCTCCTCTCCCTCCGCCCTTCTTCCTTCCCTCCTTCCCTCCTCCCTTCTCCCCCTCCTCCTTCCTCCTCCTTTATCCCCCTCCTCCTTCCCGCGGCCCTCCTTCCTTACCTCCTTCCTCACCCTTTCCCCTGCCCTCCCTCTCCCTCCCCTTCCCTCTCCCTCCCCCTGCCCTCCCTCGCCCTCCCGTGCTCTCTGGGATTGCATAACGTACCGTGGGGCTCAAGGCGCCGAGCGCTGCGCCCCGCCCGGGGTGCGCCGCAGTCTGGGGTCTATGCTCGCAGAGCTGTGCACGCCGGTCGTTGAAAGTAGGTGCTTTCGGACATCCAGATCCCAATCTACTTTTTCGGCGCCTTCCTATGTCAAGATTCGAGCAGTTTTCCCTCTGCCCTCCTCCTCAGGGGGCGGGCGGAAGCCCAATGTACGTCCAACGCCTTCCTGCCTCATGTTTCTACCTGCTGCTTTCGACCGACGGGCACTGGATCAAGCTGTTCCCCCCGCCCCCCCCTGCGTTCCCGCGCGGGGGCTGGAGGTGCTCTTCACCGCCGCCACCGCAGCGGGGCGTCCTGCCCTCGGATGTGCTGGGCGTCGACCCGGAGCGTGGGCACTCTGAGGTCTGGCGCCTGCCGCGGCCGTGCTCCGGCGGCTTGCTGCATCCGCGAGACCGGGGCGCCAAAGAGACGGGGGTCAGTGCAAAGGGGGGTCAGCCAGAGCGCCGGACCTTGCAGGAGTCTGCAGGTCCAGGCGTGCATTGGCCCGGGCTCGGGATCCTGCAGGATCTTGCAAAGCCCAGCTTGCCCGGGTCTGGATTGACCTGGGTCAGTAGATCCCCGAGGTCTCGCACCTGCCGCAGCCATGTGCCAACGGCCGGCCTGCTGCATCCGCGGGAGAGCAGGCCTGCGCGCCGCCGGCTCGCGCGCCGCCGCCGGAGCTCCACGCGGCCGCGGCCGGTCCCGCGCGCGCGAGGTGCTTCGCCCGGCCGCAGCCGGTGGGCGCCGCCGGCAGCAGGCGGCCTTGGCCCTGCTGACCCCGCAGCCTCCCGTCCTCACCACCCACCAGGCTCAGAGGAGGAAAAGGCACCCACACCGCAACCCTTCGCCCGTTTTCCCATTTTTTGAGCCTCCCGGGAGGGCCTCGTCGCCACCGCTGGGTTCGCCTCGAAATGCTGGTCAGAACGCACCCCGGGAGAGGTCCAGGGAGTAGCGGTATCGGTGCCTTTTGGTTTCCCCGCAGACCACCCCAACCCAACCCGAAGGCCCCACTTTGCCCTCCATTCCCGGTGGGGGAGGGGGTCGGGGAACATGGAGCAAAATCGCACATGAAGCCCGTACCCCCCCCCCCAACCCGAACTTCGGGTCTTCGGGTCTTCGGGTTGGGTTGGGGTGGTCTGGTAGGTGGTCGCGTCCGCCTCGCGCCCAGACCCCTCGCAGAAGGCCCCCCCGCGCGTCGGGGCGGGAACGAGCCCGCGGCTGGAGGCCATGGTCGGGCGCGCGGCGCCGCTTCCACCCCCGCCCCGCGGGGGCAGCGCCAGGGCGGTGGACGAGCAATGAGGGCGACGCACTCTTCGATGACGCTGACGCGTTGGCGACGGCGTCGAGGGAATCCCGGCAGCACGGGGCGGTGGTGCCGCATTGGGCAGCGTCGTTGCCACTATCGAGGCCACGCCTGAGCTCCGGCGCAATCGGGGGGCCCTCGCTCGAGGCTTCTCTTTCCCGCATCCCAGGCGAGTTCAGCGCGAAGGTCGTGAAGGGGAAGCTCGAGGGCCCAGGCGGCGACTTCGTCCTGCGCGCATGCGGGGACCTCCCAACGGATTGCGGTAAGGGGTCGTCGACTAGGCTGCTCATCCAATCCTCCCTGTTCGCGGTGCTGGACCGCGCAACCCCAGAGAACGGGCCCTTAACGCCGCCTGGCGACAGCGGCTGGGACCTCCTGCGTGACGACTACGGCGAGCGCGTGGATGAGGATGAGGAGGAGGAGGCGGCGGAGGAGGAGGAGGAGGAGGAGGAGGAGGAGGAGGAGGAGGAGGGAGGAGAGAGAAGGAGAGGAGGCAGGAGGAGCAGGAGGAGCAGGAGGAGGAGGAGGAGGAGGAGGAGGAGGAGAGGAGGAGGAGAGGAGGAGGAGGAGGAGGAGGAGGAGGAGGAGAGGGAGGAGGGGGGAGGAGGAGAGGACGAGGAGGAGGAGGATGATGATGAGAGGAGGAGGAGGAGGAGGAGGAGGAGGAGGAGGAGGAGGGGGGAGGAGGAGGAGAAGGAGGGGAGAGGAGGAGGAGGGAGAGGAGGAGGAGGAGGAGGAGGAGGAGGAGGGAGGAGGGAGGAGGAGGAGGAGGAGGCGGAGGAGGAGGAGGAGGAGGAGGAAGAGGAGGAGGGAGGAGAAGAACGAGGAGGAGGACGAGGAGGAGGAGGAAGACGGCGACCTGGTTGCGCCGGGCCGCGGCGCGGCTCCGGTGGGCAAAGCGGGCTTGCGCGGCCACTCGGGATGCCGAGCAGGCCGACGGTGCTGACCTCATCAGGAGCCGCCTCAGGAGCCCCGAGGAGAAGTACGGTGCTGCCGACAATGCCGGCGGGAGCGCAGCTCCGCGGTGCCAAGGTCTTGCAGCAGCGTGAACGATCGCCTGCGGAGCGCGGCCGCGAATGCCAAGCGAGCGAACCCCGTGAACGCCTTCGACCCCCGGGCTCGTTGTCGTCGGGGTCGGGGGTGGTGCTGGTTGCCGGCGCTGCGGCGGTTGGGCCTGCAGGTCTCTGGGGAAGCTCGCTCTTTCGCTGTCCGCGAGGCGCGGCGGATTTGCGTTCGCTGCGTCGGAGGCGGGCGCTCGCACTCCCGGGTCCGCGGTTCCACCGCGGAGTGCTTGAGGACATCGGATGCGAGGCTTGCAGCGGGCGCGCGGTCGTCGTCGTCGTCGTCGTCGTCGTCGTCGTCGTCGTCGTCGTCGTCGTCGTCGTCGTCGTCGTCGTCGTCGTCGTCGTCGTCGTCGTCGTCGATGCCCTTCCCAGCGGGGGTCGCGACCCAGAGACGGCCCCGCTAGCTCAGCCGAGCCTTGGTGGGGGGTGTGCGACTCCACCTCCTGCTGGGTTGCTCGTTGCCTGGACGTCCGGTCGCGTCGCTGGCATCCTTGAGCTAGCCGCAGAGGTCTGTGCGACGTTTGATGCCTGCAGCGTTCTCGAGATCGCCCGCGTTGAGCTTGGTGCGAGCCGCCGTGGTTCACGCCCGATCGCAGACGCGTTTGCGTCAGTAACGTGGCTAATCGATGTTGCCGGGATGTCGCGCGCCACGAGCGTCGGGTTCTTCTGGAATGACATCGAAATCGTGGGCGGCGTCTCGCAGGCGGTCACTTTTTCAGGCGCTGAGCGCGCGACGTGTTCACATCGCGTGCAACCCAGAGCACCCGGATGCCGGGGTGGGCCTCTGCAGCGAGTGCGTCCGCGGCTACGGGGCGCGGCTGCCCGCCGTCGCTAGCATGCAGGGCGCCTCTGAGGGAGGTCCGGCCCGCGAGCGCCCCGGGCGACACGTTGGCGTGCGCGGTGCCGTTTGACCAGTCTACCACTGCGAGGACAAGCTTCTCGTCTATCGCAACGGGTCGGGGTCGAGCGCGGGGCGCGCGCGAGATCTCGCGCGGCTTCCTGTCCGAGCGCTTCTAGGCAGGCGGCGGCGTTGAGGCGACCTCGGCCACGTGCGGCGCGGAGTCTGGCACCCGCGCAAAGTTCGACGCGGTGCGTCGCGCGCCTCGCGTCGGGGTCGCCGCTTGGCTCCTCGGCCAGGAGCTCGCTGTCATCGGGGTGCTGTCCGAGTTGCAGTCGCTGCGTCAGGTCCAATCCGCGTTCGCCGTGGAGGTGGTGAAAATCCGCGGCCAGCTCGAGGACAGGGCCCGCGTCCTGGGGCACTAGCCGCCGACGCTGCGTTGCATCGAGGTGGCCGCGCTCAAATCGGATCGCAGCGCCGCTGAGTTGATGGTCGCCCTCGCCGCCGAGCTGCGCCGTAGGCGTGATCGTTGTGGCTCTGATTGCTGCCCTGATGTCCAACGATCCGGGCAGCCAGCCGCCAGGCCCGAAGGCGGCGTCGACGCAGGCCGATTGGCGCGGGGGCGTCCCGCGGCGGCTGGCTGATACGAAGCCGGCTCGTGTAATTTTTTCTAGCTGCAGGTGCTCCTCGTTGGCTTCCGTTGGCGGCTGCGTTCGTCCGCGGCGGTCGGCAGCGCGATCGGTTCCTCTCTTGACGGCCAGGCCGCGCCCAGCGCGGCGGCGAAGGCGCATTCGTCGCCCCGCCAACTCATTCGCGAACTCAAGCGGCTCAGCGCAATGTTCCTAGCTGCCCGCATGTAGCAATATTATCTCTACGCGCGCACTTCGCGGAATCCGGCCGACGGCCCCTCGCGCTGGGGAGAGGAGAAGGGAAAACATTAAAATGGGCAGAGCGCGGCGCGAGGCCTCCAAGCAGATCGCCGAGCCGCCCAAGGCCAGGCGCCTCAAGAGGCGAGGCGCGAAGCGCGTTGAAGGATCGGCCCGCTGCGCGACCGCGCAACGTCGAGGGGGATGTTGGAGTTGTCCACGCATCGCGCCAATCGATTCTGCACGGTTGCTTTCGACTGCGCCCTCCATCCGCGGCGTCTCCCCGCAGAGGAGACGCGTGGAACTCTCGCCGCGCGCGCCCTTGGACGTCGCTTGCCATCGCCGGCTGCCGGCATTTTCGGCTTCAGCTGCGACGCCGCCTCCGAGCGGGCCGGAGGCTTCGCGCGGCTTGGGGCGGGCGTGAACTGCCCGACAGGGCGCCGCCGCTCGCGCTGGACGTAGTCTAGGCGCTGGGGGGGCTGGCGTGCGACATCAGTTTCGAGCGCGTTGGCGCCGCGCTGATGCTGGCACCCCATTGCTTGCTTCGCGCCGGCGAGTGGCTGGAGCTGCGTTTCGGCGACGGTGGATTCGACCGGGGCGGTCGCGGTGGCGCGGTGAGCTTGCGCGCCGCTGGAGGAAAGGGGGCCGCCGTGCCCGAGAGGAGATCGCGACGCTCAACGACGCCGCCCTCTCTAGCTTGGCTGGGGGCCCTGTCGCGCAGTTGCCTTCCCGGCGACTTCTTCGCGGATGTGGGCCTGGCAGAACGCAGGAGGCTGTTCGGGGACTTGTGCGCCGGCCTCGCTGTCGACGCTGTTGATTGCAAACCTTGCTCCGTGCGCCGTGGGGGCGTGGCGGATTATTTTCGCCGGCGTCAAAATCTTGGCGCCGCGGCGCCGCGCGGCCTTTCGGCCCGCCCGCGGAGGGCCGCCCGCGTCTGCGTGGCGGGCGGCTCGGCAGCCTGGCGGGGGATTCGTTGACAGCGCGCGCGGCGCGTCGTGTTCGAGAAGTACAGCGCTATCCTGAGGAATGCGGCTATAGGCCAGAATTGGAGGGTTGGGGGCGCTTCTGGAGCGCAGCGCCGCGGCCGCGCTGGGCCCTGGAGCCCTTCGGCGGCGGCGGCGGCGCATCCCGCCACAGGGGTTCGGCGCGGAGCGCCGCAGTGGCGCTGGGCAGCTGCCTGCGGGCGCTTCCCGTTGCGCCCAGATCGCCCTGAGCTCTTGAAGCGCCGGCGGCTGACGCAGCGGCCCTTGCGTCCGTGCCTGGCGCTGTCGCTGCCGCGGCTCTGACGCCCCACCTGGCGCGCCGAGAAGAAAGCGCGTCGTGGCAGGCGCGGTCTCTATCGCTGTCTATATCTCTTTGATATTTCCCATTCTCTTCCTCGTGTTTCGTGTTTGTTTGTTGTTCCCTACCTGGGCTCTGCCTAGAAGGGTTCTTATTCTGTTAGCCTAAAGGGGCCGGGCAGTGGGAACTGGCCCGGGTGGTTCCCCCAGGATCCGCCCCGCGGTTCCCCCAGTTCCGTCCCCTTAGCTTAGCGTTGCTCATCTCATCTTAGCTTAGCCGAGCTTAGCTTAGCTTAGCTTAGCTTAGCTTAGCTTAGCTTAGCTTAGCTTAGCTTAGCTTAGCCTAGCCTAGCCTAGCCTAGCCTAGCCTAGCCTAGCCTAGCCTAGCCTAGCCTAGCCTAGCCTAGCTTAGCTTAGCTTAGCTTAGCTTAACTTAGCTTAGCTTAGCTTTAGCCTAGCCTAGCTTAGCTCGGCTTAGTTTAGCTTAGCACAGCTTATCTCAGCTTAGCGCAGCGCAGCATTGGCATCGCATATCATAACACAGCATAACATATCATAGCATCGCATAACATAGCATAGCATAGCGCAGCCTTTCATAGCGCAGCATCGTATAGCATATCACATCATATCCTAGCATCGCATCGCATCGCATAACATATCACAGCTTCACATACCACAGCGCAGCATATCATACCATAACATATCATAACATAGCGCAGCGTATCATAACATAGCACACCATGACGCAGTATACCATAGCCTATCCTATCATAGCGCAGCATAACATATCATATAATAACACATCATATCATTGCATATCATATGATATCATCGCATCGCATATCATAACATAGAATCGCATAGCGCAGCATCGCATCGCATATCATAGCCCATCATATCGTAACATCGTATAACACATCATAACATGGCATATCATAGCTTAGCTTATCATAGCACAGCGCAGCATATCATACCATATCATGACATAACATACCATCGCATCGCATATCATAGCGCAGCATCGCATAGCATAGCACAGCATAGCGCAACATAACATAACATCGCATGACATAGCGCAGCATATCATAGCATATCATAGCATAGCATAACACAACATAGCGCAGCATATCATAGCATAGCATAGCAGAGCCTAGCAACTGCGACGATGAGGAGAAGGAGGAGGACGCCGTTTACCGTTATTACTTATATTGCTCTCCTCGGGGCTCCAACTCCTGGGTAGGGTCGCTCTGGGATAATTTGTTTGTTTGTTCCCTACCTAGGCTCTTCCTAGAAGGGTTCTTACTCTCTTGGCTTAAAGGGCCGGGCAGTGGGAACCGGCCCGCGCGGTTCC